ATTGAAATCCAATTGATCATAATTATAAGAATTTATATTAGAATTCTCAAATCTTTACCTTTGATCTATATGTTTAACTGTATGTCACAACTACACTGTTTTTATTGCTGTAGGACTGTAGAATTTTGAAATTGGGGTGTTCTTCATTTTCACAACTGTTTCAGCTATTCTAAATGCCTTGTGATTTCCACATGAATTTTAGGATCCATTTATCAATTTCTGCAAAAAGGCAGTTGGGATTTTGATTGGGAGTGTGTTGGATCTAGAGATTCAGAGAATGCAGAGATTTGGGAAGTTTTGGAAAGCTAGAGGTTTGTCGGTTTGGCAATGTTTTCAAAAAATGAACTTCTGGTATTATATTTTATTTACTCTCTAGTCCTCATTATTTCCTTCATTATTTCTTTGAGTCTAAGTTGTGGCTCTTTTTCTAGCTTCTTAACCTATAGGGGTTAGTTATGGGTTTAAGATTATCTTCCTTTTTGATACAGGTGTTTATGCAGTTAGAAATATCCCTCTATGCAGTGACTTAAATGTGTCTGCTAAGTTTTGATATGTTGTTTTTCATCTTCATCATCACAAAATATTTTCTAATAACACTTGCAGTGTCTTTTTTGATTCTTTGGTGATTTAGGAGTATGCTGTTTAATTTCTATTTGTGAGTTTCTAAAATTTCCTTTTGTTATTGATCTGTAAGCTCATCCTATTTTCAGCAGAACTACTTTGCATGATTTCAATCCCTTTAGATTTATTGAGATTTGTTTTATAGTCTATTATATGGTCTATCTTGGAGAATGTTCCATGAATACTTGAGAATGTGCATTCTGTTAATATTAGGTGGAGTCTTCCACAGATATCTTATAGGTCTAGCTGGTTTACAGTCTTCTTAAGTCTTTAGTTTCAATGCTGATATTTTGTACAGTTGCTCTATACATTATTGAACATGAGGTATTGAAAAGTCTATTATTTTTGAATTGTTTATTTATCTCTTTAATTCTGTCCATTTTTGAGCAATATACGTTATGGCCTCTATTGTTAGGTATATATATGTTTGTAATTTTTGTATTTACTTAGTGGATTAACTTTTTTATCTTTATATCATATCTTCACACAAAAATTATTGTCTTAAGATCTCTTTTGTCTCATGTTGGTATAGCCCCACCAGCTATGTTTTCGGTTGATGTTAGCATAAATATACTTTTCCATCCTTTTACTATCAATCTATTTATGTCTTGAATCTAAACTGAGTTTCTAGTAAAGCGCATACAATTGGATCATTTAAAAAAATGCATTCTGCCAATCTCTGCATTTAACTGGAGAGTTAATTATATCTAACCAAATATTGATCAGGAAGGACTTAGCTTTACCATTTTTTCCTTTGTTTTCCATGTATTATATATTATTTGTTCCTGAATTTCATTTCTCCGTATCCTTTGTTTCAAAAAGATATTTTCTAGTATATAATTTCAATTCTCTTGTTGTTTTTTTTACTGTATTTTAAGTTAATTTCTAGAGCTTTCCCTGTGTACTACAATTAGTATCTTTTTCATGTGCTTCAATAAATTCTTTCATAAGACTTTGTTGGTTGTTTTGAGAATCAGTACACAGACATTCCAATTTGTACACAACTCTTTTCAAACTGAAAACCTAAAGATCCATGCAATTGTGATTCTTTTCTAAATAATTATTCCAGTAAATTTCTAGCTTAAAATTTAGAGACAAATTTTCCTTTACTGGATATCAAGTACCAATATCTTCAAATGTGGATAAGCTTTTACATTGTATGTTCTACGAAAACACAATTTAGTGTCATATATACTACAGATTAAAATTTTTAGTCTTTCATAGAACATTAACACATTTACTAGGAAAATTGGTGTACCAGGACCACGATGTTATAGTATCCATAAAATTCTGACAGGAGAGCCCAGATCAAGGAGTGATTAGGACAAAATTCTACCAAAACAACATAGAAATAGAAATAATTTTGAATACTTAAGACATTAAATGAAGAACTGTGACTCCAAATTGCTATCTCATCTGTTTTGTATAACAAGGATATTAAAATGACCCCATCAATGGAATGTTAGCTGAAACTACATTCAACATTCCACTATTTTCTGGTTGTATTAAAAAAAATAAACAATAGCAAATGATTTCACCTCTAACAATAACACAAAGCATTTATACTTAAAAAATGGACTGAGGCATGTTTCCTAGTATATAATGTCTTAAATGTTTCTAGAGCTACTGAAAATGTTTCTAGAGCTACTAAAAAACTTGCATTTACAAAATAGTTGATAGAAATAATTCTCTTGATTATACAAGAAGGGAGCCTATACATGATATTAATCATACTTGACTTCCTTCTCTCCTGGTGTAAGAGGTTGGATTCTCCTGGTTTTTAGTCTTTCCATACTCTGTAGGTTTCCATTCTTCTTTAGTTTCTTGGCTTCCTTTCTATTGCTCCCCTCTTCCCTTTTCTTTGCATTTTTTTTTCTGAAGATTTATCCTTTCCTGCCACCTTTTTGGGATTCATTTTCACATTTACAGATGCAGGTTTGGTTGACACCTGGCTGATCTCCTTTCAGCACCTCCTCTGTCACTGCCCACAGCCTGAAGATTTTCCTTTTGGGCACTGTGGTTGTGGGGCAGATATATGCTTGGTGCCTGTGGGCCAGAGTCTACTGAGAGCCCTTGAGAATCTGTGCTGCCTCACTGCCACAACAGCTGGAGCCCACGTTACAATTAATATCTTGATTCATACCAATATAGTTTGGATTAACATCATTTAAATTTCCCTTACATAGCTCCATTCTTTTCTGCTTCGCCTATGCTATGATCAACATAACCATTACATTCTTATACTCATTAACACAGATATATAATTATGGCTTTAAGCAGCTGCCTTTTAATCTAGATTGAAGAACAAATTACAGACAGAAAATACATTTATACTGTCTTTTTAATTTATCTATGTAGTTATCATTATTGGTGTTATTTCTTCATGAAGACTCAACTGATTGTCCAGCGCCCTTTCATTGTTGTCTGAAGAATTCCTTGTGGCATTTCTTATAGAGTAGATGTGCTAGTAATAAATTGTCTCAGTTTTTGCTTATTAATTTTGCCTTCACTTTTAAAGGCCAGTTTTGTGAGCTTTAGAACTCTTGGTTGACCGTCTTTTCTTTCAGCACTTTGAATATATCATCACACTGCCTTCTAAAGTCCATGGTTTCTGATGAGAAATTAGTTGTCAAGTATCCCTTATACTTGACAATTGGCTTCTCTCTTGCTACAGTCAAGATTCTCTCTTTGTCCTTGTCTTTTGATATTTGATTGTGATACGTTTTGGTGTGGATCTCGTAAATTTTATTGTACTTGGCTTTTGTCGAATTTCTTACATGAGTAGAGTTATGCTTTTATCAACTTTGGGAAATTTCCATCATTATTTCTTCAAATATTTTATGTGTACTTTTCTCTCTACCTCTCCTGCTGGGACCCCCATTGTTAGTATGCTTGATAATGTTTCACTCTTCTCTGAGATGAAGTTCATTTTTCTTCATTGTTTTTTCTTACTGTTCTTCAATTTATCAATTGACTTACCTTCTAGTTTGTTGCTTCTTCTTCCTGTTCCAGTAGAACTGTTCTAGTGAAAATTTCACTTCAGTATTATATTTTTCAACTCCAGAATTTATATTTGGTTGTTTTATTAAAATAAACTTTTCATATAAACTTTCAAATTAAAAATCCAATTTTTTGATATTTTCTACTTGGGAGACCTTTAAAGAAAATTTTCCCTGTAGTTCTTTAGCTATTTTCTTTAGTCCTTTAAGCAGAGTTAAAGTATTTGTTTTAAAGTGTTTTTAAATTACCAGACAGGTCAAATTATGATAATTCTCTAACACTTGTGAAGGATAGGAGTATTAAACCCACTTAGCTCTCTTTAGTGCTGCTAAGCTGCTGTTTTTTTTTTCTTCTTCAATTTTTTTTTTAAATTTTATTTTTATATTCCCCATACAATTGCAACCCCCTTATTTTGACCCCAATCCCTCCTTTCCCCATCCCTCATTCCCCATAGTGTGTCTCTGGTTCATAGTTGTTTGTTGATTTTGATTTTTTCTTTCTTATAGTTATTCTTTTTCCTGGCCCCTTATTTAGGTTTTCTATGTTTATAGCAGCGCTATTTACAATAGCTAAGCTTTGGAAACAACCCAAATGCCCAAAAATAGAAGACTGGATCAAGAAGATGTGGTACATATACACCATGGAATATTACTCAGCATTCAAAAAAGATAAACACATGCAATTTGCAGCAACATGAATGGAGCTGGAAGGGATCATGTTCAGTGAAATAAGCCAGAAAGAAAAAGAAAAATACCAGATAAGCTGCTGTTTTTCACAAAGATTGAGGAGCAGTTGGTTTTCAAGTTTACTGTGGCACTGAGGCGAGGGAGATGAGTATACAGCTAGTTAAAATCCACAAAAATAATGTTAAAAATTATTATACCAACCATTATACTACTGCCATTAACCTGACTATCAAAAAACAACATAATCTGAATTAACACAACAACATACAGCCTATTAATCAGCTACCAGGATTATGTTGTGTTTCTTGAAAATATTCTTCACATTATTAAAGTGGACTTTGACAACTTTTGTCACTCTTGTGTAGAGGTAGATTTTTGGAGATGCTTACTATGCCATTTCTGCTGATGGTCCAACTCTTTATTTTTAAGTGTGAAATATGCATACATTTTTCTATATTCTGATATGCTATGAGAATAAGTAATTTACCTCAGTTGAAATTTTTGTGGATTACTGTTTGTGAACAGAATTTAATAATCACACTGTGAAAACATTAGTGACTACTGATACCGCACCAAAAATGGTCATGCAAGGAATCTGGCCTGTACCCCAGCTCTTGTGTAAATAAATAAATAAAAATTAAAAAAAAAAACTTAAAAAAAATGGTCATGCAGGGAAAAAAAGCAATAACTTACGCTTTTCTTTTAACTGTCCGAGGATGGAATTTTCTCCTCTGCACATGGTTCTAAAAATAAAGGAAAGAAATGATTATGGAGGTTTCAAAAGAACCAATCCCAATTACGATATCTGTAAAACATAGGGGTAAAATTCTAATACAAGTGAAAATAGAAAAAACAATAGATTTTTAAAAATTTTAAAATACATATAAATGTCATTTTTGTAATTCTATGAATGGCACAAAGTAATTGTTTTGAGATTGGTAAATGGAAAAGTTATAAAACTGATGTTAGATTTCAAAAAGACATGCTTTTTAAAGGATGGGTTATGAATGATCTTTCCCTTAAAGAAAATTGGGTGATAGAAAAAATAAATTCAGAATGCTTCAATACGCAAGAATACTTACAAAATTACAAAGCTTTAGAGGTGAAAAGCTTTAGAGGTGAGAGTGCTCAGTTAGTAGAACACTTTTGGAATTAAAAAACATCTATTATACCTGGACTATCTCTGTAATAATAAATAATAAACAAACCCCTTAAAAGTGAAAATTATGGTCTCAAATAACTGCCTCTGCTGATGACTTTGTCTCTTAGTCTCTTATAATAGTCAGTGAATTATAAAGGGTGACAAAATAAAAAATTTTATGCCCCATCTGCTTGCTCTATGAAAGTAATTAAAAATAGAGCTATTTCTCAGAAATGTTAATATTATTAAAGATGATGCCAGCAAATAGGGATTTTTTTTGCATAATAAAAGGTTATAGTTTTGGTTGCTGAACAAAAGCCAAGCTTGTTATTTCATTCAGCTGGTTTAAACCCAAAAAAATACAGAAAATAATTACAATTGACAATATTCCAAAAATAATATTAGAATGACAAAGGAAGTGGATAATATCCATGAAACATTATGTCAGTGCCTGAAATACTTGAAAAGTTTTGTTTGTACTGTTATAAATCAAATAATCTTAGAAACAGGCAAATCTTCAATCCAAGTGTATAGTGCAAAGCACAGTTAAAGTTCTCATGTACTGTAACCAGGCAAAATGACCTTAAAGGAAACAACAACAAAAAATTCTTTACTTGAAACTGTAGCAGATAGACACAAGCTAAAGGGTGAGAAAGAAGCAAGAGGAATTTTTAAAAACTATTTCCACCATAGAATGCAAACTGGTCCAACCACTATGGAGAGCTGTGTGGAGATTTCTGGACATACTAAACATAGAGCTTCCATATGATCCAGCAATTCCACTCCTAGGTATTTACCCAAAGGACACAGAAACATCAATTCCAAAGAACACCTGCACCCCTATGTTTATAGCAGCACTATTTACAATAGCTAAGCTTTGGAAACAACCCAAATGCCCAAAAATAGATGACTGGATCAAGAAGATGTGGTACATATATACCATGGAATATTACTCAGCATTCAAAAAAGATAAGCACATGCAATTTGCAGCAACATGGATGGCGCTGGAAGGGATCATGCTCAGCGAAATAAGCCAAAAAGAAAAAGAAAAATACCGGATGGTCTCACTCATAGCAGGAATCTAGAAAACTTAAATAAGGGATCAGGAAAAAGAATAACTATAAGAAAGTGAAAATCAAAATCAACAAAAAACTATGAACCAGAGACACTTTTTGGGGGGTGGGGGCCGGGAGGGGAGGGATTGGGGTCAGAATGGGGCATGTGCAGTTGTATGGGGGAATATAAAAATAAAATTTATTATTTAATTAAAAAAAAAAACAAAAAAAAAACAAAAAAAAAAACTATTTCCACCATAATGGGGCATTCAAATGTATCAGAGGACTATCAGATCCTGCAGAGGGTGCTTCTAGGGAGGAGGGTTCAAGCAAGAGGGCATCTAAGTCCCCACTGCCAATCTGAGCCTTTATCTCCTTTACCCACTGGGATTCTCTGTAAGTTCTCTTTTGTTCCTTCCCACAAAAATGGTTTAATTGGAAATGTGGGAAACACAGATGGTGCTTAAAAACAGAGAATAAAAGAAAATATTCAGTCCAGTCATTACTGTGCTGCATTAAAAGTGTGATCAGGGCAGGGTCTTTTGTATCTCAGGTTACAGAACCTGTAAGTGGGAACTTGGATTCAACCTAGGCCTGTCCACTTTTCTCTACCCTCCCTTACTCTTTCCCAGCTATGTGACCCAGAAAGAACAGCAGGGGTGCCTTTAGGTCATATTTAGAGCACTTTTTTGCCCCTGCCTACCCAGCTAGCACTACTCAACACTTCATACTGCTCTACCAAGCAAACTAGACCTTCCTGTGCCTTTTTTAAAAAAATATTTTATTACGCATACAAGAGCTGGGGTACAGGCCAGAGCTGCGGAAGGTGAGAGGATTCACCAGAAACAGAGTGGGGACAGAACAAGCGGAGCTACTGAAATACACTGCTGAGGGGAGCAGAAGGGGAGACAGGAGAGTCTGCTGTGCCACCAGCATCACCTCCCTGGCCGGGGATCAAACTCTGTGCTGCAGTGGTTGCAGAGAGCCTCACAGTGATGAGACTTAACCCCTTGTGCCACCAGGAGGCACCCTAAAGCTTCCCGTGCCTTTCAAAGTGAATATGGAAACTGCTTGTTAGAATATCAATACCACTTTCCCTAAAATCTTAACAAAGATGTAGTAGAGAAAATGATTAAAATTCCAGGATATAGGAAAGGATCTTCATGCTTCACTAACTAGCAGAAGCTACTATTACCAACTTAGCTGGAGAACCTTCCTCTTAAAGAATCATAAAAACATAGGTGCAAACTACAACATTTTAAGCATTTAATTGTTTTCTCTACTTACTGCAAAGAATATGAAATAACTGATAACTATTTATTGGCTTAAAGATAATGGTAAATCAATAATGTGTGTGTGTGTGTATGTGTGTTTGTGTGTGTCCTAGTCGCCATTTATTAGAGAGAGAGATTGATCAATCAATCGATCTGTATGTCTGTATCTTATAAATGGAGAATGGAGACCAGGTAAGATATATATAAAAAAAAAAACTAGCAACAACAAATGTTGGCGAGGTTGTGGAGAAAAAGGAACTCTCCTGCACTGTTGGTGGGAGTGCAGACTGGTCCAACCACTATGGAGAGCTGTGTGGAGATTTCTGGACCTACTAAACATAGAGCTTCCATATGATCCAGCAATTCCACTCCTAGGTATTTACCCAAAGGACACAGAAACATCCATTCCAAAGAGCACCTGCACCCCTATGTTTATAGCAGCACTGTTTACAATAGCTAAGCTTTGGAAACAACCCAAATGCCCAAAAATAGATGACTGGATCAAGAAGATGTGGTACATATATACCATGGAATATTACCCAGCATTCAAAAAAGATAAACACATGCAATTTGCAGCAACATGGATGGCACTGGAAGGGATCATGCTCAGTGAAATAAACCAAAAAGAAAAAGAAAAATACTGGATGGTCTCACTCATAGCAGGAATTTAGAAAACTTAAATAAGGGACCAGGAAAATGAATAACTATAAGAAAGTGAAAATCAAAATCAACAAAAAACTATGAACCAGAGACACTTTTTGGGGGGTGGGGGGCGGGATGGGAGGGATTGGGGTCAGAATGGGGGTTGCAATTGTATGGGGAATATAAAATAAAATTTATTATAAAAAAAAAAAAGAAATGATAGGCAAGGAATACAAAAAGAAATTATTATTTAGGTCTTTTATATTTGCACTATATCCTAGGCCTAGCATTGCTACTTTCAGGTTGATTTGAATTTAATCAACTAGTAAACAGGCCAAGATTCAAAAGTAAAAGAAAGCGTCCATTTGTTCAATGCTCTATTGAACGGATATGAAGAAACATTTTCATTTCTTTCACCAGCTTATATGCATGACTGATGGAAAGCTGAAAACAGACAACTTTAGAACTTCGGCACCTGTAGTTGAAGTGCATTATTGCTTGTAGAGCATTTCCTCCACCGGTTGAAATGTCTCCTTCAAAACCTGGCAGAAGTGGTATCACAACATACACCCGGTATCTCTGGCCTTCCCTGCAAAAGTCAGATGCAGACAGATTCACCAAAAAAAGATAGAGTGACAGTTTAAAATGACAACCAAGCAGTTCACATGGTTTTAGAGTTCGGGTGAATGGCTTCCTACAGTACATTCTGTTACATTTCAGGGCTTGGAGGCAGCTGTTGAACTGGAGGCCAGAAACTGTTATCCAGGTAACAGTCACACAACCTGAAAAATAAGCTGAACTTGGCAGTAAAGTGGGACATGTACCCACTATCTCTCTGCAGCATAATCCTTCTGGAACAAAATTCATTATAGGAAAGTCTTGTCTGTATCCCATGAAGGTTGAGGGGCGGGGAGGGAGTGTGATAAAAAAAGTTTTGAAAACTATGTCATCATAATAAATTATGTATAACACATTGCAGCCATAGTCTTAGCTCAGAGTCTGACAAATAGTAAACATTCAGTTAATTATTGTTGAGCAAATGAGTTCTCAGAGCTTAGCTCTCAGGGGCAAAAATACATTACTAGGCCCAGTACATTCTCAGTGCAGAAATCACCATTGTTTAGAAACTCTGATTGGCTCTGAAAACTAATTCAGGTACAAAATGTTACCCTGGGGCTTTCAAGTGTTCTAAACGACTGATGTTGGCTTTTCATCCTTTATATATAAAACACAATATTTCTTGGCCTACTCTCCCCACTAGTTATCAGTCTTGGAAAGAAAAGCCTTGACTTGCCTTGGCTACTCAATGATGTCACCAGCCGAAGAACAAAGGGTAGTGCCTTACTTTCACCTGCATTTAGAAAGTCAGAAATCTGGAGACTGATGTTGATCTATTGGAAGCAAAGCTATTAAGGTCCTTGTGTCCACTTATAAGAGATGCAGGAAGAAGAGAAGGGTTGGAATGACTGTTGTGGGAAACACGCCCATGTATCTGAGTGTCTATATACTCACCCAAAGGTGCTGCCACTGGTTAATCTTCAAATCCAATTCTATGTACTTTTCATGATATTTAATATCTGAAGGTCACTTTCTGCTAAACCACTTGCATTTTCTTTCATGAGACATCATTACCTGTCTCCAAGGGGTCAGATTTCATTACTTATCTCTCTGAATGTCATGTGCCTTTCAGGGCAAGTGAGAAAAGTAGGTTGGAGCCAATGCCAGTCAGCAGGGTGGAGTCTGAGGCCTGTGCCCCTAACTGCAGTGCAGATACTGGGATCTGGAGGAGGTGGCTGTAATGGCATGGATTAATCACTAGATGGCAAACACAGTTTGAGTTGGAAAAAAAAAAAAGGAAGAAATGTAAACTGTAAAGGTTCTCTGCCTGATAAGGGTAAGAGGCTCATGTTCCTAAATGGTAAATGGTATGGTAGAAAAGAAGAGAAAAAAATCACCTAAGATATTTCTCCCTAGCCAGTACCTAAAAGTCCAGACAAATTAAATTTGACACCATCTGGCCACAGCTGACTTTCCAGGATCCCCACCAGCCCAACTTTAGGGATAGGACATTCCCATCCTTTGCTCAGTGCAGCCTTTTACTAAGAAGGTTGGTTCATCTCCCTCTGAGCCTCGAATGCCCTTCTCCAACTTGCAGAATCCCACTGCCATCAGGGGGACTGACAGCCTCTTCTTGGTCAAACCATCCTGGCTCTTCCAATCCAAGTTTGTTTGTTCCTGCCTCTACACTCTCTATCAGCACCCCTTTGGCTGATACATCCGTGATGCAAACATCTGCCGTCTGGGAGAGGTGATAAGCTTTTTTGAAACACAGGAAGTATGTCTGTACATCTTTCTATTTTTGGCCATGTCCAGGCCTTTTGCACATAGTAGGCACGAGGTGGTGCTCACTTTCAGAGGATGAGGTCAGGCTGGAAGGATGCTTGTTTCTGGGAAGGCTCTAGTAGACCCTTAAGTGACACAGGCATTTTTCTTTAAACTACATTTTTTTAGGGCCTCCCTGGTGGTGCAAGGGGTTAAGACACAACTTATGAAGCTATCTGCAGCTACTGCAGCATGAGTTCTATCCCCCACCAGGGAGCTACCCACATGGCGCAGCAGACCTCTCCTGTCTTGCCCGCTGCTCCCCTCAGCAGTATATTTCAGTCAGTCTGCCTGTTCTGCTCCCCACTCTGTCTCTGGTGAATCCTCACCCTCCCACGCATCTGGCCTGTAACTCAGTTCTTGTATGCATAAATAAATAAATCTTCAAAAAAAAAAAACCCTACATTTTTTTAAATGGCATTTTATTTGAAATTTTTTATTAGTGGTAAAACATATCTATCAAATTGTGATTTAACCATCTGTAAGCACACAGTTCTGTGGTATTAATTACATGTCCAGGTTGTGTGACCATCATGACATCCGCTTCCAACTCTTTCTCATTATCCCAAACAGAAACTGTTAATTAACAGTAACTTGCACATTCCCCGCCCTGCGACACTGGTAACCTCTCCATCCACTTTCTGCTTCTGTGATGTCACCTATTTTTAGGTATTTTATCTAAGCAGAATCATAGTTGTCTTTACGTGCCTGACATTTTAGTCAGCATAATGCTGTCAAGATTCACCCATGTTGCAGCATGTGCCAGCATGTCCTACCTTATGGCTGAATAATGTCCCATCCTGTGAATATACCAGTCATGGCTCATGGGCACCTGGACTGTTTCTACCTTTTAGCTACTGTGAATAATACAGCAGTGAACACTGGTGGACAGTGTCTGTGGAGTCCCTGTTTTCAGTTCTTTTGGATATATATACATACACAGGAATGGAACTTCTGAATCAGACTTTTAACTTCTGAATCAGACTGTTTAACTTTTTAAGGAGCCACCGAATAAATTACATTTTTGAATGAATACCTGATGCTCACAGTACCAAATTTAAGGGGAAGGAGATTGCAGGACGAAAATAGTTCTCTCACTCTTTTGTCTGCAGGCCTCATTCTCCCCTCTCTTTTACTAATATCTTTCATATTCCCTCTTCCTAATATATTTCATGTTCTTTTAGAAAGAGTTTATAAAATTCATAATATATATGTAGTCTTTCCTTATATATAAATAGTAGAATACTGTAAAAACTTTTCTTGATGCTATTTTTATCATTTATCAGTGTATCTTGAAAATCCTTTTATAGCAAAGCATAAGAGTTCATATTTTAACAACATCTGTGCCATAGTATTTAAACCTATTCTTTATCAGTGGACATGTAGATTGTTTCTAATTTCTAGCTACTTCAGTATAATATTCCTCTATGTGTGCTCACCTGCATAAGTTTTCATTCTTGTTAGAAAAATCTTAGAAGTATTGCTGGTCTTGAGCAGGAAGTGTTGTGATTCTATTTGTAAAAGGTGGTTCCTTTTATCTTTGTGTTTTATAAAGCAAATGTGGCTTCAAAAGGGAAACCTCATATGTAGGTTATTAAGAAATGTCCTATAAAAACGTTATATTTTGGGGTAAGATGCTCCTGCAAATTTTGTTTATGGGAAGCAGCATATTCACATTTTCTTGTTCTTCGGCCTCTGCTATACCCATATCAAGGTTTTTGCTTTTTGATCATGCAGCAGTTCTTGAATTGCCTGAATGATGAAACTTTTTAATTGTGTTAGCAAATTAACAGAAATGTCCTAGATTTTCACTGCTGTAGAGCAAAAGGCTCTAAGAATTCAAAGCATAGAAATGTGGCTGTTTAAGCCAATGAAAAGAAAATTCTATGCGATAGTATGTCCAATCTGCTTCTTTAATTTAATCCACGGAAGACAACAGTTCCCAGCTGCTGAGGGTTCTAATGTGCAATGCTGCACCCTCATAATGTCAGAATGGTACAAATGACAGCAATCGGCTCAGAACAAGAACCTGAGCTCCTCTGCACTTATTTATAATCTTAAAAATGCAAGATAAGAGCTAGTGGGCACCAAGCCATCATGCAGGCAATTGCTCCATCCACTTTAGTTCAGGACAATTTATCAAATTGTATTCTCAGGCTTTTTGTTAACATACATTTTTCTTTCAAAACTCATTAACACTTCCAGCAGTGCTATGAATAATAGATAAAAATTGGAAATAAATGTCCAATAATGGGGGATAGCTAACTAAATTACACTTTAGCCACTCAATGGATATAACCTTTTGTAGTCACTAAAATGACCAGTATGATGACTTACTAGCAAAATACTACTGGCACTATGTTAAAATGGTCTCAAAGCTGTTAGAACTCCAAGGCAATTAGAGTTATGGCAGGCTGACACTATAAATTATTAACATCTTTCCCCTTAAATGGGATCACTTTCCCCTTTCTGTGGCTGGGGATATGAAGCAGCCATTGTTCCTAGTGTGACCTCTCACAAAAGAACTAGGACTCAAATATGTCAACTTCTTAAGATTTGTGGAACTAGAGAGAGGGTCTCTGAGCTGAGGGAGGAGTATAAAGAAATGAGGGAGACCCGGTAGGGTCGGGCAGCCTTGAATGCTGCCAGAAATAAGAACTGTGGTTGCTGGGTATAGCTTTTTAATATTGTAGGGGGACTTTATATACTACAGTAGTATCAGTTATGTGAGAATTGGGCCTGTAGCTCCTCAGTGGTTTGCAACACAGTTTGGCAAATCTTACAAAATGCAAGAGACCTTTCAGAGCTTCAGTTTTCTCATCTGTAATAAGGGAGATGGCTGAAGTCATTACTAGTACACTAGAAATGGTGGCTCTATTTAGTAACAGCTGTGCCTATTATACATGCAACTAGAGGACATAGTATGTATTGTGTGTTCATGCTTGTGGGAACACACCTGTAACTTTTTCATTGGCTACTTTAGCTTTTTCCCTTATTTAGATAACATTGGTTTACAACACTATGATGGGGGATAGGTTCACACCACTTCGACGTATGTCAGCAAGTCACCCCCACCATCAAAGCAATCACAGCCCTTTACCCCAGACTACTGGGCCCTCTCCTCCTATAGTCCTTCTGGCATTCCCCCAGACCTCCAGGAGCCTCAATTCTGCAGTCATATTTCTAGGGTTTATTTCTCATTGCCTA